GAGCCTCCAGCCTGGTCCCGGGAAGAGGGGGAGGGCTGGGGGGCATCGGGTGGGTGGCTCGATCCGTGCCAGGTGCAGGGTCTGCTAGCTGGGTGCTGGCAGGCTTGCACCTGGCACGGGCACCGTAGCCAGCCCGTGCCCCTTTAAGGGGTCCGGGGCCGGGAGGGGGGGCATAGAGTTTCCCTGGTGTTGGCCAGAGTGGCCACCAGGGAAACCTGGGGAGGGCTAGCCTCCCATCACCCTGGGTATGTCTACACTACAAAGTTAGTTCGAACTAACGTAACTTTAATAGGTGCTACACTAGCGCTCCGCTAGTTCGAATTTGAATCGAACTAGCGGAGCGCTTAGTTCGAACTAGGTAAACCTCATTTTACGAGGACTAACGCCTAGTTCGAACTAGCTAGTTCGAACTAGGCGTTAGTCCTCGTAAAATGAGGTTTACCTAGTTCGAACTAAGCGCTCCGCTAGTTCGATTCAAATTCGAACTAGCGGAGCGCTAGTGTAGCACCTATTAAAGTTAGTTCGAACTAACGTTCGTTAGTTCGAACTAACTTTGTAGTGTAGACATACCCAGGGTGAATCCGTGGACCACTTTGAGAAACACTGATTTATATCCATTCTGAAAGGGAGAAACCTATTCTTTGGCATATCTTTACTCAGCAGTTTGCATTTGGTGTACAATCTTTATTATATTTCACATTAATGAAACAAAAACGTTAATAGCTTTACTGTCACTGAATTGTTTTTTACCTTTGAGAAACTCAGTGATTTTCCTTTGCCATCTGTAAAACAGTCATAGTGCAGCAGACTAATGAGCATAGTGGAATAGTGAGATCATGAAATCCAAAATCTTAGCGGTGTTAAATATAAATATTTGTTTTAATGAGCATAAATAAAGAATTTCTTCTTTCAACAAGGAAAATGTCTTTGCCCTACAATTTTGAAAGATGCAGCAATAGTGTGCACTGTGTTTTGGTTGCTGTATGAAACATTAATTTATTTTTTCAGATACTTTTAGTGGATATTCTATAGGAATGCAGTGGAATTCAATTATAGTGAAATTTGGTTTAAAGTGAAGGTAGTGAAAACGTCGTAACTCCTTTGGTGCACTATAATCTGTAAATTGTAAGTCTGTTTCTAGAGACATTCTGCTTCGGAAAATAATTTATCTAGAGAAAATTCTAGTGTATGTTTAACTTTATCTGAGGAGTTCCATTGGAACTCATTCTCAGTGCACCAGAGCCTATAATGTATGTCTCCCAACAACAACATGAATCACAGCAAGAAAAATTCAATGAGATCGTTTTCAGAGAATTCTCATCTAACTGAAACATCAGAACTGATTCATATTGAACCGGTTGGTAAACATTGAGAATAACTGGCATCTTACATTGCTGGAGCTACTATAATTTAGATTATCTGGCATTTCATGTTCTCTGGTCATAGTAGTCTTAATATGGTGCTTTCCCTGCTAAAGGATTTACATGTGCATTCACTGTAGATACATATATATTACATATTTTGAAGAGTTTCTGGATTTGTTTGTGCAAAATGAAGTCAAACTTCGCGATTATCTACAGATACATTTATCTAACCTACTCTTAAATATCTCCAGAGATGGAGATTCCACAACATCCCTGGGCAATTTATTCCAGTGTTTGACCACCCTGACAGTCAGGAACTTTTTCCTAATGTCCAACCTAAACCTCCCTTGCTGCAGTTTAAGCCCATTACTCCTTGTCCTGTCCTTAAACTCTCCTTGTTCTATCCCCAGAGGCCAAGATGAACAAGTTTTCTCCCTCCTCCTTATGACACCTTTTTAGATATCTGAAAACTGCTATCATGTTCCCCCTCAATCTTCTCTTTTCTAAACTGAACAAACCTAATTCCTTCAGCCTTCCCTCATAGGTCATGTTGTCTAGACCTTTAATCATTCTCGTTGCTCTTCTCTGGACCCTCTCCAATTTCTCCACAACTTTCTTGAAATGCGGTGCCCAGAACTAAACACAATACTCTAATTGAGGCCTAACCAGCGCAGAGTAGAGCGGAAGAATGACTTCTTGTGTCTTGCTCACAACACTCCTGTTAATGCATCCCAGAATCATGTTTGCTTTCTTTGCAATGGCATCACACTGCTGACTCATGTTCAGCTTGTGGTCCATGATAACCCCTAGATCCCTTTCTGTCGGACTCCTTCCCAGACAGTCACTTCCCATTCTGTATGTATGAAACTGATTGTTCCTTCCTAAGTGGAGCACTTTGCATTTCTTTTTATTAAACTTCATCCTATTTACCTCAGACCATTTCTCCAATTTGTCCAGGTCATTTTGAATTATGACCCTATCCTGCAGATTAGTCACAACCCCTCCTAGCTTGGTATCATCTGTGAACTTAATAAGTGTACTTTTTATACCAATATCTAAATCGTTGATGAAGATATTGAACAGAGTCATGACTGTTATGATTACAGTTTATAAAAATATTTGCTAACAAAATTAAAATCGAGTTGTATTTTCAACTTATTTTGCAAAGAAAATGTTTACTGTTCCAAATCACAAAATAATTCAAATTAATTATGCGAAGAGTAAGGGAAGTTTTATGAGTTTCTAATTCAAATGTGCTATGTATGGTAATTATTCAAAGAAATGAATAATATTTGATGTTGCAATCCTACAAATTTGAAACTTCTTTTACTTCCCTTTTGCAAGCAAATTAATAATCATTTCTATTGCATATATTTAATTTCTTGAATTTATGCGTATAATCCACGCAAAATGACTTTGCATGGTCCATGATGGGCCTTACCTGCTTGATGTTAATATTCCTGCAATGTTGTTTTACAGAAATCTCTGTATTTGACTGTATAGTATGTAATTTTAAACCATCTATCTTTTATGCTAAGAAATTCATCACCTTCGCATATACTGATCTAAACTAAAGACATTATTTGTCCCGTTTTGTTTGAAGAAGAACCTGCTTTGCAGTGCCGGAGAGTTTAACCTGGTGTTTTGAAACTATTGTTCCACATCCCTATAAAAAGGAGTATTAGATGTGTGTCATTTGAGATAGGTACAGTGTTTGAAAACACTTTTAATATAATAACTTCAGTGTGTTTTTTCTCACCTAGGTGTATCGTTGATTTTTTTCTTGTGATTACACAACTAGGATTTTGCAGCGTTTATATTGTGTTCTTGGCAGAAAATGTGAAACAAGTGAGTAAAAGTGTTGGATGGAAATGATTTTTTGAAGCCTTTTTATTTATAGCTTTATTTCCTTTCTGTATCCACGTCATACTATTCATATAATGCCTGTAATGAGAATACATAGGGTACATTCTAAACAGCAACATTATTTCGATATAATTAGCATTATTTTGAAATAACTTAGTCCGCGTCTACACAGCAGGCAGTTATTTCAAAATAATGTTGAAATACTGTCAAGCTGGAGGATTTCTTATTCCAACTCCTGTAACCCTCATGTAGGAAGAGTAAGGGAAGTCAGAGGAAGAGTGCTCTATTTTGAAATAAGCTGCACAATTGGTGTAGCTCAGTTTGCGTAGCTTATTTTGAGTTAAGCCCTATTGTGTAGAGGTACCCATAGAGAGGGCTCTTGCTTTACCCCAAAAGATACCCCACTGATTAACTCTTGTAAAAATCAATCTGCTTGCTTTGTCGGTTGAATTCAATCCTGTGCTTGTGTAACACAATATTACTGACATCCAGTTTTTCTTAAATTTCAGCAGTTAATTTCACAACTTAGCCATTGGACATAATTGTTTTAAACACTGCTAAATAGTATTGGAAAGATAAGGGAAGTTCTGTCAAATTTTACAGTATGATAATGGTTTCTTCATGCAAAAAGTCAGCAATGTATCATAAACTCTTAGGATTTGTGCTTCAAAATGTGTGTAAACTCTTATATAGTATATTAGAAGATTTATCTGGAGTTGTTTGGGTCCTTAACTCAATTAATTTAAAATGAAAATGTGCATACTTCATTTAAATCATTGTTCTGGGGTGGGGCTAGAGATGCGGGGTTCAGTATGCAGACTGTCCCAGGGAGAGGGGACAATCCAAGCCCTTTCTCACTGTAGAAGATTGTGGCTAGATGAGAAGCACTTGTCCATGGCAGCTGCAGTTCCAGCAAGCACAGCTCTGGGAGGGGTGCATGTTACTCCTGGCTAGGGCAGGTCCAGGTTCATCTCCCCCCCCCGTGCTTCCTGGGCAGAGTGAGGAATACAGCAAACTATACACTTTCTCCTCACTCTCTGACAAAGGAGGGGGGCTTCAGCCTCTCCGTCCCTAAAGAGTGCCTGGGGGCTGGAAGGCTTGGGGTTGGGGTTGTCTTGTATAGGCACAGCCTGCCTGGTGTTTGTTTGTTTTCTGTATCGTTTTATGAGAAGCAATCTCATTCTAGGCACATCCATTTTCCTGTCACAACCAACCCCTTTTGTTGCTTCAAGTTATGATAAGAGGAAGCTGTAAGCCGAATTTGGCAGTCCTAGTTCTTACTGTTTATGTTCTCGAACAGCCAGCCAAATAGGCAACCAGACAGACTCACAGATAGACAAACTCTCTGCAATATATAGTAGATACCAGTGGTTCTGATGGTCTGCGAGCTCCTTTCACGTGGCTTGTGGATAGTTCCCTCTAAGGTGTGCACCTGCATATGAGAGAATGAAGGACTGCCTACCAAATTAAAGGTTGCAGGTGTGGCTCCACTAATTAGGTGCCTGGACCCTGGAGAAAGCACACATGTAAGGTGAGCTGGTGGCCTTGGGGAGAATAGGAAGTGGGATGAGGTGGGATAAAGAGGAGATAGGGGGTGTATTGGGGGGAGAAGAGGACGTAGGGTGAATTTGTGATGTTCAGGGCTGCAGAGGCCAAAGAAAGCAGTGACTTCCTAAATAAAAAATATATTCTTAAGGTTTGTTTTTATATAGTGTTTTTATCCAAAATGTTTACAATAGTTCACTAATGGCACAACTAGCATCTGGAAAGATCATTCTTCTTCGAGTGCTTGCTCATGTCCATTCTAATTAGGCGTGCGCACGCCGCGTGCACGGATTCTGGAGCTTTTTTCCCTTAGCAGTATCCATAGGGCCAGCAGGGAGCCCCCTGGAGTGGCGCCGGTATACCCCTGCTGGCCCCTCCACTCCCTCAGTTCCTTCTTCCTGCCAGTGACGGTAGTTGGAGCATGTGCTTAGGGCTATTAGCCTATCCCATAGCAGTGGTATCTCTCTTTCATTGTAATATAGTAATAAAGATGTAGCCGTGTTAGTCTGGTCTTGCTGAAACAAAAGACAGGACTATGCAGCACTTTAAAGACTAACAAGATGGTTTATTAGGTCATGAGCTTTTGTGGGCCAGACCCACTTCCTCAGATCAAATTGTGAAGAAAATTGGCATGACCATATATACTTCTCAGATACTTCGCCAAAGAATTAATGCCCACAAATCAGACATCAGACAGTTTCTCAAAGAAAAAATAGTTTCTTGTCATTTCAACCAGACTGGGCATTGTCTCAAGGACTTAACTACATGTATCTTACTTCAAAGAGACTTTAACACTGGACTACAAAGGGAAACCTCAGAACTGTTATTCATGCTTAAATTTGACACTTTACGAATGGGCCTTAACAAAGATGCTAACTACCTTACCCATTACAAAGATAGCTTCCCCATTTATCACCCCTAATATCATTAACTTATAGACACAAAGCTCCCCTCCTCTGTTCTAAAATCTGATTTGTCAATTTTATGTGTGTTCACTTTTTTTTTTATTGTATCCCTTTTGGTATATATGGTTATGCCAATTTTCTTCCACAATTTGATCTGAGGAAGTGGGTCTGGCCCACGAAAACTCATCACCTAATAAACCATCTAGTTAGTCTTTAAAGTGCTGCATAGTCCTGTCTTTTGTTTCATTGTAATATAGGGTACGTCTAGACTACATGCCTCTGGCTACCTAATTAGGCTACCAGGCATAGGAAAATGAAGCGGCGATTTAAATAATCGCCGCTTCATTTAAATTTACATGGCTGCCGCGCTGAGCCGATCAGCTTTTTGTCGGCTCAGCGCAGTAGTCTGGACGCGCGGGTGTTGACATCAAAGGCATTTGTCAACCACCCAGGTATGCCTCCTGCTCAGCGCGACAGCCGTGTAAATTTAAATGAAGTGGCGATTATTTAAATCGCCGCTTCATTTTCCTATGCCTGGTAGCCTAATCTACATGCCTTTGGCAACAGAGGCATGTAGTCTAGATGTACCCATAGTTAGATTTAGTGTAAATACTGTTAAGTAGTTGTTAAGTAGTGTAAATAGTCACTGGGAAGTGCTCAGCGGGTCTCTCCCCGTTAGAGGAGGGGATGCCAGGGCCCCAGGGCTTCAAGCCTATGGCTCCTCCTTGAAGTGTATGCCCTGTGGAGACCCGCAGAAAAAAATATTCTTAAGGTTTGTTTTTATATAGTGCTTTTATCCAAAATGTTTACAATAGTTCACTAATGGCACAACTAGCATCTGGAAAGGTCATTAAGTGGCCTGCTGAGACCCTCAGCAATTTAAGTGGTCTGTGAAAAAGAGTTTGAGAATGACTGACATATACTTTTTTTCCATATCCAGATCTTGGGTCCAACCTTGCTCTCAATATGTAGCAATTGTTATATATTATTGAGTTTGTAGTTATGTCCAAAATAGTGCTGGGAAGTTTCCAAATGCAGAGAAAGACACAGTTCCTGAGCTGAAGACTGTAGTTAACTATAGTTATGTACTTCATTTGAGCACACACACACAATAGTTTTTTTCTGAGATCTGAAGTAGTATGTGTCACATCTCTGAGGATGTGAAAAATTGATATGCAATTGGAAAGGCATTCTGTAAAGAACAGGTGAAGATGGACAACATTGTTTATGGTTAATGATACCTTCCAGTAAATGTCTGAAGCCTCCCTCCACACAAATATAAGGTATCACTTAATGACATGGGAATGGTTGATTTACACGTAGATTTTGAGACTGTTCTGCTTCAATGGTAACCAGCCTTGCTATAAGTGTATCACAGTACGTTGGGATCCTTGTAGGCACCAAAAGCTAAGTAAGGTTGAGCCACTTCAGTACTAGGAGGGAAGACTTCATTTAAATATGTGGGAACTACAGGCGATATTCAGCAGCTATGTATGCTTATGAACTGTTATCCAAAGAATCATTATCATTATCATTTTCATATCTCATCTTATAGATGAGACATAAAGCTATTCTGACTACATTACATTTCTACGCTATCCCCCAGTCTCTCCAAATGAATGGAGACATTAAACACTGGGCTTCTTGATAAATTCCAGCTTGGGTAATTACCCCAGAATCTCCCTCTAGTTTCAGAGATGATGTTCTTAATGTCCTAGCTTATACAATTCTTCAATACAAATGTATGTTTTGAAACTGCTATTGGTTATACTTAATTGGTGGCTGAAGTAGTCCGTAATTATTCTACCTTTCTCTTAGGAGTGTTGTGAGGCTTATTTTATGTTTTGGAAAGTGCTCTGAGATACTCTGGTGTAAGATCTTTTTCTATAAAAGTGCAAAATATCTGCATCTGCAACTTATATAATCTATGATTTGGGCCTCTGAACCTGATACTCAGTACAGGTTGGATCTTTCTGGTCCAATACCATCAGGACCTGACTGGTCCCTGATCAGGGATTTTTCTGGAGTGGGGAGGTCATTTCTGGCCCTTTGCTGGGACCCCCTCCTTCCCTGCCCCTCCACGGGCTCCCTGGCTACCCCTGCAGCTGAGCCGAGCCCCGCGCTGACTCCCATTCCCCTCCCTTGCAGCCTAGCTGGGTCTCACATTGCCACTTCTCCCCCACAGCACACTGGGACTCTCTGATCTTGGGTCTTGTTGTCAGACCAGAGAGTTCCAGTTTATAGAGGTGAAAACTGTAGTTGTGAGACCATATTATAAAAATATATTTTACCATTCTAATGCATAGTAATCTGTGTGCATCTCTGTTCCTTCTCTGGTTCCACCCTCTAAGTGTGAATTGTGATTGCATCTATCATAAAGTTAGTCCCAACAGTTACTATCAAATAGGTAAACAGACTCATTGCTGCCTACCAGTGACATCTTCCTATTTACTGACCTTATAAACCAATCAAGGCTAATGAGCTATGTCTTTTTCTATCACTTCTTAAGGACACAAACATTGGGTCTTGGTT